TGAAGATTTTTAAATAAATCTGGAAAAACTTATATATTGAAAGCAACGATTTTTTCGCCATTATTAAATTTTTAAGAGATGCGCTGTTTAAAAAAAGGGTCGACAATACACATTAAGTGGCATAGTTGAGCCAATGTACATAACGAAATTGTTAAATTAGTTAAGTAATAGTCATACAGCTTTAATATGGCGTCCAGCTCAGTTTCAGTATTAGGCTAAGTTTACAACCTAGCGTATTAGCGTAGTGAGAATACATAAAAATCGCTTCTAACCAACATTTACACAGTCTTTCGTGTTTATCGCTGTGCAAGAAAATAAAAATTATGCAATCTGTTAAAAAAATCTTTTTCACATACTTAAAGCCCAAATAAAAAAAATATACATATGTACATATTTATTTAATAAATTAAACATCTCTTCTACAGCTATTATATACAATACAATATGCTTAATTTTCGGTATAAATTGTCAAAGGGTTGTAGGTTAGGTTAGGTTAGGTTGAAGTGGCTGCTAGGCCCAGAGGGCGCCAGCACACTTAGGCCCGATCAGGGCCCATTGTGATACCACATGGATCCAAAGAAAACCCCTATTCCTTAAACCAGTTTGTGGAGTCTGCAAACCTTAGCAACTGCCGTATTCCAAACTTAGCAGTCGCGCTTAGATCGTCTAGAAGACCTATACCTAGGAATTTCTGTCTTTTCCTGCCCAGTGCTGGGCAATCGCAGAGTAAGTGCCTTATTGATTCAGGCTCTTCTTCGTCGTGGCAGCTCCTGCAGTAGTCGTTGTGACTAACCCCGAGGCGTTCTGCGTGCCTTCCTATCAGAATATGTCCTGTGAGCAGACCAATGGCCAGTGACATATCCCCTTTGTTGAGAGTGAGAATTTCTCTCGATCTCCGTACATCCCATTTTGGCCATGTAAGCTTCGTTGTATTACAGTTTTCAGTGCGACCCCATCTGGAGGCCGCTTCTTCAAGGAAGTTCTCCCTTAGTAAGAGCTTGCAGGAAGCGAGTGGCATACCCACCCTCTTCCAGGCTGGTGAAAGTGGAGAGGAAGTATCCGCCCTTGCAAGCTCGTCTGCCTTCTCATTTCCTGGTATGTCACTGTGCCCCGGTACCCATACCAGGTGCAAAGCGAACTGCTCTGCCATCACGTTAAGTGATTTGCGGCAGTTGGCAGCTGTTTCCGAATTTATAGTAACAGAGTCAAGCGCCATAAGGGCCGCCTGACTGTCTGAGTATATATATATTTCCGTAGTGGCGATAACAGCTAGTTTTAGGCTGTCAACGGCTTCTTGTATGGCTGCCAATTCGGCTTGAAAGACACTACAGTGGTCAGGTGGTCGGAATGATCTTTTTATTCCCAATTTCTCCGAGTAGATGCCTCCTCCTACCCTATTTTCTAGTTTGGAGCCGTCCGTGTAGAATCTTATGGCATCTCTAGACCCCGGAACTCCTTCGAGCCATGATTCCCTGCTAGGTAGCGTTACGCTATAACCTTTAGTGAAAGTGAGCCTTGGTACACAGTAGTCCTTTGTACTCGGTAGTTGTCGGTTTCTCAGAATTGTAGTGTGACCACAGCGAGCCGCTTTCCAGCTTTTAAGCCCCTGTAGTCTTAGGGCTGCAAACGCAGCGTATTGTCGTCCCATAATATCTATGGGTATGATGTTGAGGATCGTATTCATTGCCATAGTAGGTGTTGTGCGGAGAGCACCACTAATGCAGACCAGGGCCGTTCTCTCCACTTTTTGTAATTTAATAATGTTTACTTTCTTCTCCAGCACTGGCCACCATACCACTACCCCGTACAGAAGTATGGGCCTCACCACGACGGTGTATATCCAGTGCACTAGCTTCGGGGTTAAACCCCATTTTTTGGCCGATTGCTCTCCTGCAGCTGTATAGGGCAACCGTGGCCTTCCGCACCCGCTCTTCGGTGTTTTGAATCCAGCTTAATTTTTTATCTAGGACTATCCCCAGGTATTTAGCGGATTCGCTTAATTTTAGTGTGGTCTGTGCCAGCCTTGGTGTTATCAATGGGGGGATTTTGTACCTTCTTGTGAACAGTACAAGTTCTGTCTTGCTTGGGTTTACCCCTAACCCGTTATTTTTTGTCCAACTCTCGAATTCCTTCAGTTTTACCTGCATAATGTCACATAGAGTCTGTGGAAATTTCCCACTTACTGTTAGTGCAAGATCATCCGCATACGCAATAACCTTACAGCCACCCCCCTCCATGCCACACAGCAGTGAGTTTACCGCTGCGACCCATAATAGAGGGGATAGGACTCCCCTTGCGGGGTGCCCCTCTCTACGAACCTGGTCAACGATACCCCCGCCAGCTCCGCCCGGACCACCCTGCATCTCAGCATTTGGTTTACGAGCGCAACTAAGCGCGAGTCGATGCCCAGGCCCGCCAGTGCTGCCGTTATCGCGCCCGGCATGATGTTGTTAAAGGCGCCCTCTATATCCAGGAAGGCTGCTAGCGTATATTCTTTGATGTCTAGTGATCTCTCTATATACGACACTATTTCATGTAGCGCCGTTTCTGTAGATCTACCTTTCGTATAAGCATGTTGTGTGGTAGAGAGTCTGTCACCAACCGACTCTCTGATACGGACCTCCACCAGTCTCTCCATAACATTCAGTTGAAATGACGACAAGGTGATGGGCCTGAAATCCTTTGGGTTATTGTGAGACACCTTCCCTGCCTTGGGGATGAACACCACTCTTGATTCCCTCCACTTTCTAGGGATATGGTTAAGAGCTAATACTCCCTTAATTATAGTGTGTAGCCACGCTGAGCTTAGCTGAAGTGTTTGCTGCAGCTGTATGGGGGCAATGCCATCCGGACCTGCTGATTTATAGGGCTTAAATGTCCCAATAGACCAGATGACCTTTTTCCTAGTGAGGAAATCTCCAGTGACCGAAAGATCTCCAGTTAGATGTGGCTGTACCGGCATGCTATCCGTGGCACCCGGGAAGTGTGTGCAAAGAAGCAGATCCAGTGATTCCTCCTCGGTCTCTGTCCAGGAGCCGTCAGGTCTTTGCAAGCATCCTGGGGCTTTCTGGGCAGTACCTGAGAGTATCTTTCTGAGCCTGCCTGCCTCTGAGATAGACTCCACCCCATTGCAGAAGTCTTTCCAGGAGGTTCTTTTCGACCTTCTTAGGAGCTTCTTGTACTCCCGTAACGTTGTCTTGTAGGTCTCCCAATGTCCCTCACTACCAGACGCAGTAGCCTGATTGAAGGTTTTCCTGCAGTTCTTGCGTGAAATCCTGATTTCTTCATTCCACCAGGGTGGCTTTTTCCTACCCCGGTGCTGCTTTTTGGGGCATGCAATGTCTATTGCCTTACTGCAGGCCCCCGTAAAATGGTCGACAAGATATTCCAGCTCCTCTAGGTTTGCTGGAGTAGCCGGCTCTCTATCTTGTGGCAAAAGCCTATCCAGCTCTTTCCGATACCTATGCCAGTTGGCATTTCGCAAGTTTCTAGTTAGAGGAGCCTTGGGCGTTTCCCCTAATACCTCGAATTGGATATATCGGTGGTCGGAAAAGGAGTGCTCCTCAAGCACCTTCCACTTCCCGACCAGACATTCCGCATTCTCAGAGATAAGGGTAACGTCCAGAACTTCCCTTCGGGATTTTGTAATAAAAGTGGGATCATTCCCCCTATTCGCAATAACAAGCTTAGAACTAAGTATGAAATTAAAAAGTGACTCACCCCGTTCGTTATCATCGGAGCTGCCCCATGTGTGATGGTGAGCATTCGCGTCACCTCCCAAAATTAGCGCCTCTCTCGTGCTGGCCACTAGGTCTTTAATGCAGGTAGTTGGCACCTCCTTGTCATGCGCTAGGTACATGGATGCCATCTTAATTGGTCGTCCGTTTGCACTTAGACTGACCGCTGTTGTGTCCTCGTCGCTAAATTGTGGAAGAAAGAGACACTTTAGTGTGATACTTATCAATATGCACGTCCGTGGTTTCCCCGTTGAGGCTCCACTTACCAGTCTGTAGCCCGGCGCTTTCAGCCCACAAATGTTTTGTCCCACCACCCAAGGTTCTTGGATTAGGACGATGTCGGCTGCCCCTTTAGCTGTTAGATGGAGCAGCAGTGCAGCTGAAGCTGCTTTACAGTGGTGAAGGTTAATCTGCAGTACCTTCACCATCTTGGCCGTTATCGCCCACGTCGCCTATTAGGGTAGAGTTGACCGCGTCTTCCGACATCTCGATCAACTCCTCCTCCGTATAAAGCCGAAGCATGCGTCCGACCCCCAGCGAAGACGTCGATGAGGCATAACCCCCGGTCAGGTCGTCCAACGGATCAACCTGCTCGGATTCTTCCTCCATCTCCACGTCGCTGTTGGCCTCTTCCGGCTCTACCTCCGCGATCAGGTTCTTCGCTGCGTTTACGTCGTTGCTGTAGACCTTAATTTTGGCCATGTCACAGCCGTAACGTATGACCCCGCTCTTTTGCTCCAACAACTCTATGGAGTCCTTATTTAGAAGCAGGACAACCTGCATCGTCGCTTTACCGCTTTCGTTAATTTTTACCACCTTCCAATTATCGGTAGGTAGCTCCGGGCTATAGAGCCTTGTGGTTTGGAGGATCCTTTCTGGCTCCGCTGGCCTGCAAGGCAACCATGCTCTCGCTCTCGGTCGCACCGGTAGGTCCTTGAAGTCGACCGGCCTGAGCTTCGCACCAGGGTAGACTTCTCCAATACCTGCGACTGTTTTCTTGTAGATCTCCGCTGATCTAGCATCCTCGCATGCTATAACGCGGATGTTATTTTGGAACCACCCCGCTCCCTTGCAGGTTGGCGGAGGTCCCGGATTCTCCAACATAATGTTGATAGCAATGTCGGCCATCGCGGCCTTAACCCACTTCCATTGCTGCCTCAGGGTGAGGCTGTCTTCATTGCTCTCATCGATGACGCCGAGCAGGATCTGCTCCTTGGCTACTTCAGCAAAAGAAGGCCCCTGCGTTCTGACCCTCTTTGCGTATTGGTTGGGCGTATTTTCCCCCGATCTATTGCGCTTACTGGAGGGCGCCTGCGGCTGCTTCTCCTCCGGCTTGCGGTAGTCGGGCAGGACTGCCTTTGCCCAGTCGATTTCTGTGAGGATCTCCTTCACATGCTCTTCTTTCGCCTTGCTACACAGGTCAGGCGTTGCGGTGAACCTATGCAGGATTCGAGCAGCCAGCTTCCTCTGCCGATAGCCCGCTGCAGCTGGTGCTGGCCTCTGGTCAGGCCTCGTGAAGGCCGTGGGTGTCGCGGGAGGACCGCCCGGGGCCTGCGCCCCAGATTCAGCCTTATCCCCGGCTGCAATCTGCATGCCAGGTTGGCGTCCACTGGTGCCAGGAGTTTCCCGGGGTGGACTCCTTTGAGCAACCCCAACGCCACTTTCCTTCGTTTTTGCGAGAGCTTGGCCCGGTTTCACCATTGGCCTTGGTTTCCCGCTATTTGTCACCGAACTACGGCTGGTGGAGGTACTCTGCATCGCTTGAGCTCCTTGTTTAGTAGGCCGAGACCCTTCCGACGCTTTAAGGGGGCCGGTCCCTTTATAAATTGTTTTTGATGTTGTTGTTGCTGTTTTTGTTGTTGTTGTTGTTATTTGTTTTTTGTCCATAATTGATCCCACGGGCTGCGGAGAAAGGGGGTTCGTCCACCCGGGCAGAAATCCGCGATGCCCAGGTAAGGCCTACTTACATCCTGGGTGTGGCCGCCTCCCAGAGGGCTCCGTTCGCGACTGGGCTATTTAGGGGCCCCCAGCCTCGCCGATCCTCGGTACGGTGCGCGTGACGCCTTGATCCAGCCCCTTCAGACCTCCAAGCCACGATCAGAAACCATTTCCATATGACTACGCTATTAAGGAGTTTAGCACATAGCACTGATTCCTGATCTTAGCTGAGCACCATTCTGACATCGCACAGAATCCTCTGTAGTGCCCATTTCCAGTCAGCACCCTCGTGGAGGGTTCAGCCGGAGGATTTTTGCCGACCAAAGGGTTGTAGAACCAAATAAAAATATTACGGGAAATCCCTACGTAGCAATGTATCACACGTTTTGTTACTTTCCCAACAACAAAATATGTGCCAGATTGCTACGTAGCAAATTTAAATCTAAAATGCTACTCATCGTAAATTCCCTTGTTATAAAAAATTAGTCGTGTATAATTTTGCTACAATTTAAACACTAGCTACTTTTTAATCGCCAGCGATTATGAAGAATTGCATCGCGTAACGCTATAACTCTAGGTTGTGAACTTACACTGATTCTTGAGTTTGGTACAAAAATATTTACCAAGAACGATGTATTTATTTTGCCCTAGACACAATTAAATTTGAGAATTTGGTATAAAAAATGTTTCTTGTCAAATGAACTCAGTTGACAGAAGTTTAAGCGCCTACCACACGTCCATTATTCGAACGCAAACGCGAACGTATACATTTCAACATGTTTTGTTAACGTTCGCGTACGAAAAGAAGAAAACAAATCAGCGTTCGTCTATGTTATGTAGAAAAAATTCTCGCTGTTGTTCGTACTCGTATGTACTATGCAACTTATAGCTGCATTTGTGAAGGCACGATGTTGAATCATTAGCACCCAAGCTAGAGCTGGGATACCATCGATAGTACCGACACTCGGTAGTTTTCGAAACGATAGTAGGAAACATCGATAGTATCGATAGTACTATCGTCGCGAGAGGTATTGAATTTAAATGCTAAATTGCTTGAAAATTAAAAAATTAAATTTTAAATTAAAGAGATTATATAAGTTTGTTTAAATTTGAATGCATCAAAAATAACTTATAATATTAAAATAAACTTATTAATTTATGCGTCTGAATTATATATACATATGTTTGTCCCTTTTGAAGTGCAAAGGAGTGACATTGGCTATAATAATACATTTCTAATACTACAAAACAAACAAAACAAAAGATATTCGTTTAAATGGACAACTCATACTTACAAAAGTTCAACTGAGATCAAATACGGAGGCGCATATCAAAATCCGGACAAAGGAAATTATTAACATTTTACCATATTGTGGCGAATAATGCGGCAACACAAAGCGAACAACGAGAAATAGGCAGAATGTTCGAGGAATGACGTAGAATGTTCCACAAAGAGAAACGTCAGTTGGATGAACACTGCGAACAGCGAGAGAAAGTGAATGAGTGATGAACTTCGGAACGTTCGAGAGTCGCCATGAGTGCGAGCGTAGGTATATACGACACAGCGGACAGCGGAGTAGGGGAGTCACAAGTCAGCAAGCTACAAGTAAAGTGAGTTTCAAATAAGCAAGCTATAAGTTTAATTGTGGTAACAAGTTTTGTAAAGCGTTGTAATTTCTTTATGGAGTATTGCAAAGTTTTTTTACGGTATTAGCGAGTATTGTAAATTGTTTGTTGTACAATAAAATTAATTGTACTACAATTTGGTCATCGTGAGAATTTATTTAACAATCCAGCGATACGAGCCGGAGGATATTTGAGAAATCCCTCAAGGTTTCGAGGATAATCGTAACAATATTATAAGAAAACGAATAAAGTACTGGTCAAAATAATAGCACCACAACATTTTTAGCAGTTTTGACTATTTTTGGTTTGTTAAGTGTCTACTAATTTTTTATAAAAGTTGTACAAAACATAAAAAACTACAAAATCATTAAAATTTCAAGCTGTTTAATTCGAATTTCTATAAAAAATTTTGTGCAAGTCGTTTTATAGCTTATTAAATTTTACTATAACTCAGTGTAAGCTTAGTTGCTAAAAATTCCAATAACTAAAATTTTTTTTTTGCCGACTGTATTGTGAATTTTCTTGGATAAAAAAGATTAATGTAATGTCAAGAGATGTAAAGAGAGAAGTTCCGCTAAAACCCACATCGATAGTTCTCAAAAACTATCGATAGTGGCGACAGTTGTCAACTATCGATACTATCGATATTACTATCGATAGTATCCCAGCTCTAACCCAAACAGGTGTATTAAACATACCAACCAGTGTTACCACTCGACAATATTTTTAGGAACAAAAAATCCTACCAAATCAGTTTCCAAACTACCATTTTTTTTAATCATTAGATACTGATATTTTATTTCCCTTCTGATTTTACTTTATGTAAAAGTATGAATCTTAGAGATTAATTCAATTTATATCCATTATTTTATGTCTAAAATGTAAAAAAAATACAATCGATATAAATATTTTATATTTGGTAACAAAAAAAGTATTACTGTGCTCGCGCAATTTTATTTTTATTTATTTGTTTTCATTTAACCATGATGCAATAAAATTACGGAATGTCAGCAACATATTCTTAATATTTCGGTACGAGTTTTATACCATGTTCTGACCGACAACGAAAACACTTTGAAAACGAGTTTTGGAATTGTGGGCTGAAGGCTGTTCAAACCGGCTGTTAGTGTTTTCGTTGACATTTCTTACATCCTCTGATTGCAGTTTTGCTACACAAAAACAAAACCAAAATACTTTTCCCACATTTTCTTTTCATTAGCAACCTCTTACTTTCATTCTTATTTTACTTTGGTCAGCCAATTAACAATAAATACGAAATAGCGTATTAAAGATGATAAAATATGACTTCCACTTCGATAAATAATCGAAAAAATTGAGTGAAGACACCGATTGGAATGAGTGGAACGTGAGTTTTCAAGTAGTTTTCAGCGAAAACTGGTTTTCGTTTGACAGATTTTACATTAACGAAAACACATGTTTTAGGTCGAAAACCAGTTTTAGCATGTTTTCGATGTCGGTCAGAACATGGTATTAGGCCATTTTAGTACACTTTCAGTATGCTTTTCTACTTTCATATCACCATTGTATTACCGCCATTCGACAAAATTTATTTAAAATTTTTACAAATGTTCTAATAAACGAATACTATGCAACAACAGTTCAATGAATTTTTGACATTTCGAATAGGATTTATTTTCTATTATAACTTCAAAATTTCCATAGGATTGCAAAACATCTATAAAATTTGGAATCGGAAATCCAAATCGATGAGAAATCAATTTCGAACGAAACCAGAACAGCCGTGAATTTTTTGCCCAACGAAGCAAAATGAAACTACCACTTTATCAAAACGGCAACAATGATAGCAGCTCTACTTGTGGTATGTATAATCAAATAAAACAGCTCTTTGAGGTAAAATTTTCGAGTGACGAAAGCTGAACTAGAAACACAAAATTTATGATATCAATTTCGTGACGAAAATTATACGCATTTTTTAACTGCCTTTGAAACGTACGGAAAATCTTTTTTTATTTATTCGGAACGTTGCAAAAGTTCTGTTGTTTATTTTGTGTTTCTAGCAGTAAACGGAATGTTATGGGGTGCACTCTACAATAATTTGAGTTATGAATTTTTTTTACACCGAAGTTCAGTAAAATTTACAAATTTTTTAAACTTTTTTAGAATTTTTTTGAATATGCAGTTTTATAAAAAAATTAAATTTTAGTATAATAAAGTGGAAGTTTTAAGCAATTGCAAAACTTCCGTAAATTTTTTTTTAAATTTTCTTTGAAAACGGTTTTAGGCATTTTCATCGATAAGAAAAAAGTGCAAGAAGCCGTGAGCATAAACAATATTAAAAATCAACGCAATTTTGCAGTAGCTTAACGCTTGCACTTTATTATACTCAAATTTAATGGGCTACAAAATTGGGTACTCAAAAAAATTCTAAACAAAATTTTATTTTATTTTTTAAATTTGTAATGTACTCAACTTCGGTGTAAAAAAAAATCATAACTCAAGTTATTTTAGAGTGCACCCCATAACATTATACCTAAATATTGCGCAATACTCAGAGCTACCATTGTGATTTTTCCAAATTTTTTTTGAGATAGCATATTCTCAAAAATTAATTTTTTTTTATTAAAAAATTGTAATTTACTCAACTTCGGTGTAAAAAAAAATCATAACTCAAGTTATTTTAGAGTGCACCCCATAACATTATACTTAAATATTGCGCAATACTCAGAGCTACCATTGTGATTTTTCCAAATTTTTTTTGAGATAGCATATTTTCAAAAATTAATTTTTTTTTATCAAAAAATTGGTATGTGGAAAATTTTTCAAGAAAAGAATTTAAAAATAATTTTCTTCGTAGGGGATTTTGATGTGTGCATGTGTGATTTTATCGATAAAAACGTTTTAATTGCGTATGCATGTTCACTTTGAGCAAATTGTGAGCACTGGTTGGGGAAATCTTCGGTAGATTGGGCAAATCGCTAATTGGGCCCCAATTGGGTCAAAATTAGAGCCCAATTGGGAAAAACTTTTGGCTCTAATCGGGCAACCTCAAAAAATTTCCAGCAAGGAAATTTTGTCATAATGGGCAACAATTTTTGTGCCCTCAACTGGCACGAAAATCTGCTAGCATCATATAAGTGCATTTTCAGAAGCAAAATCATAACTCGAAAATGACGAATTTTAGCATATTGCTACTCGTACTGAAAATATGGACAAAAATGTTTGAGAGAAAAAAAAGATGTGGCAATTTAAAAAAAATCAATTTGAAAAAAACATTTTTTTTTGTTATAAACAATAATTAATTATTAGTAAACAATTACTGATGTTTAGTTCACTAGATCGATTCAGTAGATCAATATCTGCAATTTAAAAAAAATCGTTAAAATCCTTGTTTTTTTGCGGCAGTTATAAACGATTTCATCAAAAGTTGCTATTAAGAGAGGAGAAAAGAAGCGTTCGTACTCAAAAAGAAAAAAAATCATTATTCGAAAAATTCGCATTTCTGAGCAAAAAGAAAAAATACGTGTCTCCTTAATTTGTTCAAGGAACAATCCCTGTGAGTTTTATCGCAAACTTAAATTCACTTTCCCCCGGCCTGGGTGATTTGAGATGGAATGAGCCTTGTACATTTTGAGTTTTTAGGCGATGTCTTATAAAATATCAATAATTTATTCCCCCCAAAAGTAGCCTATGCCAGGATAGGTCCTT